TAGTTAAGGAGACATAAGTGTTTGCACTGTTGGAATAGGGTTAGAATCCATTAGATGGATGGCCAAACTATGCAAGATGGCTTTCCGAAATTTCAAAAAATTTTCTAACTTTCTCGAGAACCGATTTTCTAGTAAATTTAAATATGAAATTTCAGGGACGTTATTGCATTAAATTGTACCAGATTTTAAACCAAAATGAAGGGAGATTATATCTGATATGGAGACCACAAATCGTAGCTCCCAATGTGGTAGTTCACGCCCAATGTCAAACCCAAAACCGTTCTCCAACTGAAGATGACATAGTGTATAGAGAACCGATTCAACAACACTTATTTTTCAACAAATCTACTATTCAACTTGTTTGGATCGAGTGGGGTAATTGAGCCTGAAATTTAACAAAGAAGAAAACTAATCAAAATCAGTTCTTAAAAACCTAGGTCATTCGAGGATTTCTTGGGAGACAAGAGAGAAAATGAGAAGACAAGAGAGATAGGTGTTCAAGTTTGGCTCGCCTTCTTCTTCTTTTTATCTCCTTATGGAGCACTCTCTTAATCAAATTAGGAGATTATCTAAATTGGACTCTACTAAGAGATAAGCCTTATACTCTTAAGAGGATAGGTGCTCTATACCTATTACCAAACTCAGATTCATCGTAAAAGCACATGACATAACTTAATTAATCATATTAATCATGGGCCTTAGGCCCATTTACTTCAAAGGCTCACAACCCTAGGTGTTGCACGACCACTTTAGGCTTGATATTGTATGGCATGGGATCCCACAGAGGTTTCATTCAAATCCATAAGGGTTCGGCCCCACCTCTGTAAGAGGCTAGGCCAAATTCACTATTCAGAACAGTGAACCCTTTAGCCAATCAGCATGGGCTCAGTATGGGCCCAACATTTACATCTAAATGATCCTTAGATTCAGCCATCGTATGAAGACCCAAGGATAATGGACTTAAGTGAGCTAAAACCCATCAGGTAATTAACCTTATAATGGTCTCTTATACTTAACCTTTCGGCCCATAATGATCAAATTATTACTTGACAGGGAAGGACCTCTCCCCTGGCTGCAAGGTGTAGTGCCACACTCTCTGCTCAGATGGATCCTAGGATTAAAACATTTTTCATAAAATAGTAGTATATAACATATAAGTACATTTTGCAAAAAAAAAGATTTCAAATACATTTGAAATCCACTGCCAACAGTTTAGATTTCTATAAGAGAGAGTGCATACCTTGATATTCACTTTGTCCGATAAAGGGGCCGATCCTATCACTATGATCACCTACTTAGGTGAACTCCCAAACTGCCCCAACATGCCCAGGTGTTGACCCTTGATGGGTCTCACTGATTGGCACATCAAAGACAACCCAGTACAACACCTAGTGCAGTATCATAATCTAGTTTGAGGTTATATGTAACTTTTTAGTTTTGCCCATCTATCTCCAAGGTCTAGGGTACAACTAGAAATCAGTCCACGTTTAGTGTTTCTTCTAAACACACATTGCCTGTGCTTAGGGTCTAACTCTAGCAGTTGAGGCAAGCTGCTCCAACTGTTTGGCAGCATACTAGTGTCAGTATTGACAGAATAAACTTCCCAAGTCTATACAATGGTTAAGAACATTCTAAACTAACATAGGTCTCACAAATATCTAATTTAAGGAATAATTCACAGAAAACATATCAATATCAACATGAAACAATAGTGTACTTTATTCATTTATAAATAAATATTTATGTATATCAGTCCGATTAGAGCTAAGGGCATATATTGTCCAACATGCACAATCAAAATATAGCATCTCATACACAAGATATCCATGATGCCTCAAGTCTAAGGATCATCTACATAGTTGTGATGATAGAAACAATTATTGGCAATTGATTCCATGCGATTGTTCTATTAGTGGGTCAGGTTCAATAAATTTGTTCTTTAACAAGCATCCATATATTTGCTTTGGTGTCTCCATACAAGCGACTTGAGATTTGTCACCTCTTAAGGCAATCATAATATGTGCTAGTCATCTTCGATTATCAAAGCCCTCTTGATAATCCTATAACTATGAACTATTTTAGAATTTTGTACCAATGATAGACATATCTCAAATTCCTCGCACACTTATACCAACTCAACAAAAATACTATGGACTATTCATGTAATTATAAGCAAAAAGACATGAATGAAAAATGCCCAATTTATATTAAAGTATGAAATTATGAAATAGTGCAAGATTGGCATTTTACATTATCACTAGATTGGTTTAGGACATACGACTAATACATTGAACCATGTTTGGTATAAAGCCAAAAAAGCTTATGAGCTGAAAAATCAACTTTTTGGTGAAAGTAGTCTTTTTAGTAGCTTTTTCAAAGTGGATTAGTAAATGCTAACGCCCTCCTAAATGAGACCTTAAATACAACCTAGTGGTCTCCTAATCTCGTAGAGGCTAGAACTGTTATGGGAGTCCATTTGGCTTGGGCATCAATAGCAACAGGCCCAACTTGATTGCCCTCGTGTTTTTGTGGTCAAAACGCATGTGCCACACACCTAGGGGTGGATTCAAGTCGAGCTAAGCCCAATATTTGACTATTTGAGATCGACTCACTAGTAAATTATGAGGCTTGAGCTCGAGCTCAATTCAAGCTAGAGACTTGAGCTTGAATTTGGCTCGAATCAAAAGCTTCTAAATTCGAGCTTGACTTGGTTTGAACTTGATTGTGAGCCAAACATTTTATAATATATAAAATTTTAATTTTTATTTGACATATAAAAATGTAAGAATTATAAAAGTTAGTTATTATTATACATAAAAATAAAAATATTATATATAATATTTTTTATATGTATAATGCACACATGTTTGTATGTATGTACATACGTACGTACGCACATATGTATGTTTGTTTGTTTGTTTGATTGGCTCGAAACTTGACATAGAACAAGCCAAATTGAACTTTTCACTCATTAAAAGCTTGACTTGTGGCCACCTCTACCAATCACTAAGCAAAAAAGCTCCACAGCTTGAGTGATGGCACATACACACCTATTAGATCATATTAAAAAATTATAGGTGTGGTAACTGATGATTATTAATCGTGATGGTAATGTAATTTTATGGATAAATTTCTTAAACTACCCTTATGATTTAGCTAATTGACTAAGTATACTCCTAATGTTTGATTATTGTCTAACACTATTAAATATTGATGGAAGGGTCAAAATGTCCGTTTTGCCCTTTAATTTAAATTTACGTGCGAAAATAGAAACGGAGCAGATCCCCTTCGCCTACGACATTTATTTGTGCAGTGAAAAGAAAAAGCTGACAGAGGAGAAAAAGGCCGAGAAGGGTAGAGATCTCTGAGCAGTTCTAGAACTTTCGAGTCTCTCAGATATACAAGAAAATCAGATCTGAGAGATACTCAAAACTGGACATCTGGCTTTTTTCTTCTCCTCTGTTGCGGGAGCTTCCACTTCTTCTTCTCATAGCTGATCGCCCTTGCCTTGGCTTGCAACTCACGAACCTCACGATTACCTAGAAACCTAAATGACAACGGAAAGCCAGAAACCCTAAACGGCTACCTAGTAACTTATATTGATCTCAGACGAAACGGTCATTGCACAATCATCTGCCGAATCAAATGAAAGGAAAGGATCCAATTCTGTGGATCGGTCCATCTCTTTTATGGGTTAAACTCTTGGGTCCTCCCATCTCGGCCCCTCTCTGTTTGGCAACTTCTCCTCTGCAATGGAACACGAAATACAAATTTCTCCTCTGTAGAGACAACTTCCCTCCATAGTGACATTGAGGAGGAATCCAGTTCATCAGAAGAGGACGTATGCGATTAGAAAATTGCCGGACGATGTGGCCACTGGAATTAGCTGTAGATGTCTGGATTGGATGTTCGAGGATCTAATGGAGCAGTTCAAAAGGCAGACCCTGAGTCCAGCCTGAAACACTGGGTATTTGAATGAATTTTCAGGTGAAAAAACGCCGTTCTTTCAACCACCTCTATGGCTTGAATGGATTCTCCTCTTGGGCCAGAATTGGCTTTGGGCTTTCCACCATTCTCCTCAAAGGCAGCTTGGAGACGTCTTGACGAAGTGGGCATGGACACGGTGCAGGGGGATTCTGGTGGCCGAAGAAGGGGCACATTTAGGTGTGGACTTTGGTCTTCCCGAATTGGTCGAGACTCGAGATACCTCAAGAATTCTAGCACATGGGCGCCGTTGCACATGGAGAGAGACAATGGAGGCCTGTGGTCGAGATACCTTAGGAATTCCAATATCGACACTTTTGGTTCTTGTAAGGACTAGGAGTACACAGGGGAGAGAGAATGAAGGGGAAGAAGAAGGAGAGAGAGAGAGGGAGGGACTAGAGGTGGAGGTGTCCGCAGCGGCGGTGCTGAAACAAGGGAGAGAGAATGAAGGGAAAGAAGAAGAGAGAGACGAGAGATGGAGGGAGTTATCGTCGCCGTTGGTTAAGAATCGAGCTAGTTCGGTTTGCTGGAAGGTGACAAAGGAGGAGAAGAAGAAGAAAGGAGAGTGATCAAGGGTAGAATTGGTTTTAAAAAATATATGTCATATAGTGTCAAGTGCGTACAGTTTTGTTAGAATATTAACAATACTAATACTAAGGATAGATTTAATCAATTGTTTAAAATAACAGAGGCGTTGTAAGAGTATAATAATTGATTATTTAAATAACAGAGGTAATTTAAAAAATTTATCTTAATTTTATTTGTATTAGGATAAGGTTATGAAAGTGCAAATGAATTGAGAATAAAATATGATTTTATTTTGTTTTGGACATTATTTGTTTTATTCATGTTAAAGATGAAGTAGTAATGTAGAATAATTACATATTGTACTATTTTTTATTTGTATTTTTTCACAACTTGTGCTACTGCTAGTATAAATAAATTCAAAGTGCAAACAAATGGAGCCTTAATTATGTCTTTGCCCTATAAAAAAATTTTAAAAGAAGTTACTAATGCCTTTGTCAAAGCGGCTAACAGACGGCTTAACTACGCCGTCAGGGGAGACGTTATGTGAAAGAGCGGTGATCTTCGGCCGGAAAATAACGGAAATGGTAACGGTGCCAGTTGCAGCTAAAAGCCTAAAACCACCTGGTCAATATCAGTCAAAGAAGATGTTATCTCTTTCTCCCTTTTAAAACCCCTTCCATCTCTTCTCTCGAAGCCGAGACAAAGGACGAAAACCGGTTTCCATGCACGAAACTCGTTTCGGACATTGAAACCGTCCGAAACCCGTTTTGTTCTCCTGCAAATCGCAGAGCTTTCATGGCGGATGATAAGAGCCTCGGAGCTCCAAAAGAAGAAAAGAGAGTGAGAGAAGAAGAAGAAGAAGGATCGAAAGTAGACGAAGAAGAAGAAGAAGACGAAGAGTTAGAAGAAGAGAAGCCTCTTCCCAAGTTACAGGAGTCACTGCCTTGTGTATCTGTTCCTGATTCTTCTTCGCTCGAAGTTGAGCTCAGAGGCCAGAGTTCTCAGTCAGAAACCCTAGTGGTACCACCGCCGGTTCCATCGTCTGAGAAGGCTCATGGCCCTGGTTGTCGTACTTTCTCTCAGCTGCTCGCCGGTGCGATGGCTTCCCCCACGGCGAATTCGACGGCAGCTTCATCCAATCCAATGGTTCCTACTGTTCCTGTCGATCCGACAGGGTTTCCGATGGTCTGCTCGCCAGTGTCACTGGATCCAGCGGGGTTCAAGGTTGTGGGATTTTCTTGTGAATTACCACTTGTTAGCTGTTACACTACTTTACTGAGAATTCAAGTTGTATAAATCGTTTTAATATTGGGTATTCGTTTTCTTATTCTAAGTTGGTGTTTCTATGTGTTTTCACCCTCTGCATGAGTTGGTAAAGTTATGTTGTTTATTCATCTAGTCAGATATTCGTTTGAACTGGGTAAGTGTCGTTACAATATGGTGGGTTTTGGAGATGGCGTATAAAATATGGACAGGAATGAAATTGGTTCCAAACTTATGCATTTTCATGCGAAAGATGGTAAAGTAGTTTATCTCTTTTCTTTGATGTGGCTAAGTATTTTGTTTCATCAGTTTGTTGAGTTAATTCTGGACTTAAAGAGATATGATATGAGTGACAAATGGGGATTGTAGTGAGCTTTGAACTTTCTGAAATGCTTTATTAGTTTTATTTGTAGATTGGGTCTTGTCTTTATGCAAGCTGCTTATTTATGATGTGGGAGGATCACGCAAAGAGCTATTGATTCTGGTTTTTTAGAATTTGTTTTGTTTTGTTTTTTTTTTTTTTTTTTTTTTTTTTTTGCAGGGAAGTTATGAATGAAACTTGATTGATTTATGTTAGTATTTGTTTAGATTTTCTCCTTTTTCTTCTGAATTTAATGTTTATTCTCATCATGGAATAGTGGCCTAATCCTTCTGCTATGAGGTTTCTTGCCCATATAGATCTCAGTGTTAAATAGTGGTCTAAGCTATGTTCCATGAAGTTGCCATTGACATGGATGAGTGTCTCCAGACTGGCTCCACGATCATGACATGTTGAGGATCACATTGATTATGTCAATAACGTGGTTTAACTACATTCATGATTTAGTCTTTGGGTGTTAATCAGTAGAGACTGACTATTGAACTCAATGAATTTCTTATCACCCAATTAAGGCAGGGATAGGGCAGTTCCCAGTCTAACATCTTTTAAGGTTGTGGATGGGGCATTTATCAAGTTCTGGGAGGTTGATTTTGGCAGGTGCGTTGTGTGAGATATGTCCAAGGCTTTACAGGTTAAGTAAGCAAAGTATTACCATTTCCCAATGCTATGAAGTGAGAAATGGGTTGGTTGTTTGGTGTCTGATCTTTAGAAGATACTTTTTAGATAGAGAGGTGGAGGAATGTTTGCCATTGATTTTGAAACTTCAATTGGTGGAAATCAAAATTGATGGGTCAAACTTGAGATGATGGAAAGAGAGTAGGAATGACAGGTTCACGGTTAAATCATTTTACAGGGTTTTGGCAAGAAGTCAGGTTGAACAGTCAAACATAAAGGTGTGTGGGATAATCTGGTTCCTCCAAGAGTGGAAGCTTTCACATGGTTAGTAGCTCTGAACAGTATTTTTATGCAGGACCATTTAAAAAGTAGAGGTTTTTGTTTTCCAATAGATGCTATTTGTTTGATGCAAACAAGATATTCTGCATCTTTGTTTTGGCTGTTCTCATTCAAAATTCATCTGTGATATCTTCTTCAGGTTTTTTAGAATAGTTTTATGGGGTATGTTGGGAGTTCTTCATGGAAGTAAAGAAGTAAAAATCTTTTGGAGTTCTGTTCCATTTGGAATATGCTGGGAGGTTTGGAAGGAAAGGAACTGATTGAAAGGAAAAGCAAAAAGCAAGGAAAATCTTTGTGCAGTGATTGGTAATTGGTTGCTGGATTGGATTTTGATTTTACCAGATTCCATGGATGTTTGAAAAGAGTCCTTTGGGACAGGTTTTTGGTCAGTTTTAGAATTGGAAGATGAGGGGTATTGATATTTGTATGATTTTGTTCTTCTTTGTATTGCTTCTTAGGTGATCTCTCATCATCATTAGATTTGTAATGATTTGATCTTTTTTATATTTAATGAAATTTCTTTTTTTATTATTATTATAAAAGTGAATTTCTTATAACCCAACTAATCACTCTTGACATGAGAGTTAAAAAGTGCAACTTGAATTTTGTATGGCTTATATGTCTCAATCCAAGTTTCCAGATGTGGCAATTAGGGGTGTAATTGAGCTGTTGAGTCGAATATTAGGCTACTCAACCTCAGCTCGACTCGAGCTCGATCAAAGTTTTGAGTTTCATACTTGAAATCAACTTGAGTTGATACTTGACATACTTGAGTATCGACATGACTCCACATGATTATAAATAAATTAATATTTAAATATTATAAATAAAAATATATCAGGAATGTCAATTATAAGGCTATTTAGTTATTTATATTATAAATAAAAATACATTAAAAAATTAGTGTCTTATTATATACTCTATTAGGCTTATGAGCCACTCAAGCTGGGTAGTATGGAGCTTGAACTTGACATGCTTGATCTCGACTCAAACTCGATTATTTGTGAGTTGAGTTCAAGTATTTAGCCGGCTAAGCATGAGTAGCTTGCAAGTAGGCTCGTTTCACTTACACCCCTAGTAACCGCTAGTGTACGGTGGCTGTTGGGCACAATGAAATCTTGATAAAGAAGCAGTAGTGGATTTTCTTTTTCAAAAGAATGGCTGTATGAGTAAGTAAATAAACTCTCTACGCTTCTACTTCTTAGATGTTGCAAGTGCAATTAAATATGTCCCCCTATTATTTCCGGAGGTTCCCATCATAATTGGCAAGGTGTATATGTGATTCTAGGAAACAAAGGAGTGCCTAGTCACCTAGGAGCCTAGATGCCCACTTCCCAACCTAGGTCTAGGTTTTGCCTAGGTAATGAATTTGACAAGGAAAAAAAATAAATTCTAGGTTAATTCCCTAGTCTTATATACCAATAACATGCTATAAATTGGAAAGATTGCCGTGCTATTTACTATACAACAATGGATCTCATCTCAATACATAACAACTCATTACACCAAATAATATGCTATAAATTGGAAAAAGTAGCAATACTATTTACCATATAACCCTGGAATTCATCTAAGTACTTGGCAAATTATTGATAAAAAAAGTAAAACTGTAAAATTGCATTTTAATGATTGATAAATGGCACTGAACAGAATGGACTGGTGAAATAGGATCGTGTAGCCAGCCCCATATAGTTGGGACAAGGCTTAGATGATGATGATAACTTTTAATATCTCAAAAGCAATATTATAATACAATTAGTATTTTATAGGGGAATTTTATGTCAAAATATTTTTTTAGCAGCTGAAAAAGGCTATAATTTTATACTAATAAAAGATTTAAGAGAGAGTAATGAAAAGAAAAAAAAGGAACAAGAGTTGGGGCCCCTTTTGTATTAATATGAAGAGAGTAAGAGGAGGAAGGTTTTGCCTAGGTGACACCTTGACGATTATGGTTCCCATATTGCAAGCATAACTGAATATGATAACCTTGGTTATTATCGAATGTCCCCCCCAGCAGTTGGATCAATAACAAGATCACAGAAGTAATATGAATAACAGAAATTTATGTGGAAGGATCTGATTACAAACATAAAAAATATAAATAAGAAAATTCAAACAGCAACACAAGTGAATGAAGCTATGCAAAAGAGTTTTCGCATGGTAGATTTGAGGGACCAAGGTTGCCCAAAAAAGATTTCCAACCTATTAGGGTAAATTCGAGCCAAATGTATGTTGCTAAATGACACAAATAAAAGGCCCTGTTTCTTTTGGACTCTTAAAAGTCAAAAATTAGGTTAGAGCTGACTTTGGATTGGGGAAGTGACTACATGGGCAATCCAGAGGATTCCTTAATCTGATGGAAAATCTGTTTGAAATTTGGCACCAATGCTCCCATGCTACAAGACTATGTCCTGTATGCAATGTTAGGATTTTTGTTAATGCTTCTACTACAGCTCATGTACTTGTGTGGTCCCTAAATTGCTGTTTCAATTTACAAGTGGTGTGGTGATATAAGTAAGTTGGGTTAAATGGGAGGGATTAATATGGAAGAGGAAGATCTGAGTGTACTAGCAGGGATTATAGGGTGTGAGATAAGGAAATGGCAAATGGAGTATCTAGGGATCCTCTTGGGTGGGAATTCGACAAAAGGTGGGAGAATAACTCTAATTAAAGCAACTTTGGCAAACTTGTCTATCTATTTCCTCTCCACCTTTTGGATTCCAACTAAGATAGCAAGATAGTTAGAGAAACTCATGAGGGGTTTCCTTTGGGAGCCTAGGGATGAGAAGAGAGTTCATCTAGTGAAATGGGAACAAGTTAGTAAACTAAAGGACTAGGGGGGGGGGGCTTGGAGTAGGGAACTTAACTCTAGGAAAATGGCTTTAGAGGTTTCCCTTGGAAAGAGGCTGGCTATTGCATATTGCAAGCATGTAGTGAGCCTCTTCAATTCAAATTTCCTAAGGTAGCCAAGAAAGAGAGTTGGTATGGATTGACTATTTGGGAGGAAAGAAATGGAAGAATCTTCAAAGAAAAATGCAGGGCAAGGAAGTCATTGAAACTATAAAGATGAAGATTGCACATTGGATAAAAACACTTGAACTTTCCCAAATGTTTTCAGTGAATGATATAACAAGGGCATGAAATGAAGTGTCAAAGTCTTCTAAAGAGAAAGAAAAGGTGGTAATGGAATGGAAAGCCCCATCATGTAACCAAATAAAACTAAATTTTGTTGGAAGCTCCATGGGAAACCCAGGGAGGGCAGGTATTGGAGGTGTTTTCGGAGACTCTTTAGGCAAGGTGATTTCTATGTTTTTGGGACCTATAGGAGTTGGAGATTCACTCAAGGCTGAGCTGATGAGTGATGACTGTCTACTTCCCTAAGTTTTGCTAAGCAGTCTAACTTCAAGAATTTGAAAGTTGTAGGGGATTCAAAGTTGGTTGTATCCTGGACTACTTCTAGACACCGCGTGTCTTTGATTTATAGGCATGCCTTGGGGAAGTAGATAACCTGTCAAAAGATTTGAATGCTACTTTTGTTTGGGTAAGGACTGCAAATGGATTGGCTAACACATTAGCAAAGCAAAGGGTCTATAGGCAGCAGATGTTTTGGGCATTATTGTAATTCTCTCCATCCGGGGTTTTGAATCATTGTTCACTGTGTCTATGGGTGGTTGGATAATACAATTTTAAAATTTTTTGCTGATCAGAAAAAGGGAGCCATCCACTCTCAACCAAGAAAACAAAAGAAAAAGAAAGGCAGAATGGTTGTTTTAGTATGGATTTGGAGTATCATTGGGGTTAAAATGGGTCTTTGCTCCCATTTCCTATTACAACATTTGACCTTATGGGTGACCATTTCTAGCCCAGCCATGGTTCAATACTTTAGGCCCAGCCCACAATATATGTGTTGTTTTGTATATAAGATATAACATATATTATGTCTTATAACATATATGTGAGTATTATAAAACATAACTTTTGAAATCATAGTTTTCAAGGCGTAAAAGCAATGTTAGGCAATTGGGGGGGGGGGGKGCCTAGTTTTTTTTTTTAATAAGAACCTTGAATCCTATAGTAATTTCCTAAGTTCTATGGCAACCAATAACCTTTCATCAGTAATTATCAATAATCTTCATTAAAAAGTATGAGCTTCATGTTAAAACATAGAAAATCAACATATTATTTGATCGGTAACAAGTAAATTTATTGAAAAAAAAAAGAACTGGATATATTTACAAGAATGAGTAAGTGTGAAGAAGTGTGGGTTGGACAAAATTTTAAGTTCTTCCTTGTTTATTAGTTTGGGTTTTGAAGTCTCTAAGGGTTCAAGACAGCAACATACACCAACATGTGTGTTGATTGAACCCTAAGAAATAATAAAAAGAAACTAGTATATAAACCCAAAAAATGAATAATTTAGTATATAAACCAAAAAAATGAAGTCTCTAATAACCAAAGTGCATTTGTTCCAGGGAGGCAGATAGTAGACTCAATTCTAATTGCCAATGAGCTAATTGATTCCAGAAGAAGAGAGGGAACCCCGGGTGTGATTTGTAAACTTGATATTGAGAAAGCATATGACTTCATCAACTAGAATTGTTTGGATCGTGTGTTGGATAGAATGAATTTTGGATAGAAATGGAGAAATTGGATCAGATTTTGTATTAAGACCCCAAAATTTTCAATCATAATTAATGGTCATTCTACAGGGTTTTTTGGTAGTTCTAGGGGTCTGAGGCAGGGAGATCCTTTGTCCCCTTTGCTGTTTATCTGTGTCATGGAAATTCTCACACTTTTTAGCAAGAAGGCTGCAGAATTTGGTTTATGGAATAGGTTTTCAATCTCCCCTGGAAAGGAGAAAGTCAATATCCTCCAATTTGCAGATGATACCTTATGTTTTGTTGATGCTTCTATGACTCAATTGGAATTAGTGCTTGGGATTCTGAGTTGGTTTGAAGTGGTGTCTGGTCTCAAAGTTAACCTGAGTAAAAGTCAGATCATCCCAGTGGGCCATGTTTCAAATTTAGAAGAATGTGCAAAAGTGATGGCTTGTCAAACTAATTTCCTCCCGGTAAAGTATTTGGGGCTGCTTCTTGGGGCTAAATACTCTTCCTCCTCAACCTGGTGCTCAATTATTGAGGGAATGGAGAAGAAACTGGCCTCTTGGAAGGCAAAATATTTATCGTTTGGAGGTAGGGTTACATTGATTAAGAGCACTCTTTCCAACATCCATATTTATTTCCTTTCTCTTTTCCCCATCCCAAACAAAATTGCAAATAGGTTGGAGCAACTCCAAAGGAATTTCTTATGGAGGGGTTGGGAAGATGAAAAGAAGATTCACATTGTAAAGTGGGAGCAAGTGTGCCTCCCTAAGGAAGTTGGTGGGCTGGGAATAAGAAAGTTGAAGGGATTTAATTCTGCCCTTCTTAGTAAATGGCTATGGAGATTTGCTTCTGAGAGGAATGCATGGTGGAGAAGCCTTATTGCGGCAAAGTACGGAGTGGAATGGGGTGATTGGAGACCTAAGGAGCCTAATCTAAATGGGGGTAGATCTCTCCGGGCAGGTATCTCGAAGAACATTCCTTTCTTCCTGGATGAGATCAGATTTAAGGTTGGTAAGGGGGATAGAATCAAATTTTGGAAGGATCCCTGGTGTTCAGAGGGTCCCTTGGCTGATGCTTTTCCCCTTCTATTCCAAATTTCTGTGAATCAAGATTCTTCAGTAGCTAAAAGCTGTAGCATTTCTGGTGTACTCTGCTATTTGGACTCCTCTTTGTAGGAGAAGTTTGTTTGATTGGGAGGAGGAAGAGTATGTGGTGTTGTTGGTGCTGCTTCAAAATTAGATGATTGATTTGAGTTTAGAGGATGAACAGGTTTGGAAGTGGAATGCAGACGGTAGCTTCTCAGTTAAATCCCTGTTTCTTAAGCTGTGCAGATTAGGTCAGGAGAACTTCCCTGTCAGGCAAATTTGGAATCCAACTAGTCCCTCCAAGATCAATTTCCTGGTCTGGACAATGGCTCTTGATAAATGTCTGACCAAGACTAACCTGGAGAGACGTGGTATTTAGATTCTGGATCTCTCTTGTGTTATGTGTGGAAATCTTGCAGACACTACAGAGCACTTGTGTATCCACTGTCCAATTTCTTCTTTGGTCTGTGGGCATTTTCTTAAGGTTTTGAAGATTAGCTGGACTATTGCAAAATTTATGAAGGAGCTGCTGATGTGTTGGAGAGTTGAGGGTCTCAGCAAGAAAGGAAAGCTTGTTTGGAGTACCATTCTGGCAGCTGTGTTATGGTCCATTTGGACTGAAAGAAATAACAGAATCTTCTTTGGTAAATTTAAAGGCCCAGATGAAGTAGTGCAGAGTGCTGTGGGCAAGCTATGTTCCTGGGTGTCGGTGAATGAGGAATTTAAAAACCAGAATGTATCTCTTTTGTCTTGTTCTAAATCATGGATGAGCTTGTAATTTGACTTGTGCCCAGGCAGTATTAGTGGTCTGGGTCTTGTTGTATCTCTCTTTTATGTGTTGAATAAATTACATTACCTTTTTCCAAAAAAATGTCTGTTTTATTATTATAATTAAAAAAATTATAATTTAAAAAATAAAAATATAAAATATTTTATAGTGCCATGTAGAAAACAGGTAGGTGCTTAAGCGAGGTGACCCTCCATGGGTGCCTTGTCACCTAGGCATTGCCTTGACAATTATGTCTTAAATATCCATATATATATATATTGTTCATGTAGTTGTAATTTGTTAAGCATAGAAGAAAATTTATATCTTAAGTTTTTGATGAGTTCAGAATCATGAAGCAAGCAAATTGTCTCTCATTATTTTGTATTTTGATGGATAAGTATGGTCCAAATGAGTAAAACTCATGGTTGAGATCAAGACTAGACTATATGTAATATTAAAATTCTGCAGAAGCTGAAGTTAGACTCTGTTAATGGATCTCCTCGCAGCAAAGCATATTCAAATCTCATAGTAGTTAAAGGAAATTTTAGGAACATAATCTAATGGTGCCAAAAAACTTGGTAATGGACCATAGAGACTAGCAAACTTCTTAATGAAATCAGAGAAACATTAGCTCAGCTGATTGCCCAGGTGAAATGGATACCAGGAGAAATAATTTTCATAGCTAACATTCTAGGCAAATCTAGGATTGAGAGGTATTTTTTGTAAGAACGATGCCATGCTTGAGTAACTTTTTGATGCCGGGCTGGGTGCCATCTTGTACATAACCATGCCAATCTGTACATCCTCTCATGTACGTCTTGCTGGGAATATAATGAAGTTACTCTTTCTCTAAAAAAGAAATCCTCTTACATTGAAATGTCTTTGGTCTCTAGTTTTTAATGCATTTCATATTTATTCCTTTTTCCCTTAGGGACAATTTGGGATGTCCCATCAAGAAGCCTTGGCAAGTGTAACTGCTCAAGCTCAAGCTCAGAAGCAGCTTCAAATTGTGCATCCATCATCTTCTGCAGAGTTATCACCAACTTCTGTTCCACAGTCCATGCCATCTGAACCAAGTCCAGCTCCACAAGAACAAAAAGTTCCACCCTTGCCGCAAGAAACTGATATCTGTACATCGGAACTGGACTGCCAGAACTCAGATCGGAAAACTAAATCTTCTCATATGGTTACGAAGACACCCACTAGTGATGGCTATAATTGGCGGAAGTATGGGCAGAAGCAGGTGAAGAGTACTGAGAGTTCTCGAAGCTATTACAGATGCACATATTCTAATTGTCATGCTAAGAAGAAGGTTGAGCGCTGTGATCATACTGGCTTTGTGACTGAAATTATTTATAAAGGTCGGCATAACCACGATCCACCTCGGAAGATTAGATGCACCAAAGCACGGAGGTTTGTATCATCTGCTAGTCCTGTTGGAGAGAGTGAAACCATAGACAATCCAGTCAAAAAACTAGAGTCGGATCCATCTACACCTAAAAAAGAACTCAGAGAGGCAATAGTGCCAACACCTGAAAAGAAAAGACCCATTTCAAGTGCTTCTAATGGAAGAGATGACATGAAGGCTGAGGGAGAGCATGTAGATGAACAGGATGCTAAACGGAGGCAAGTAATTTCAAGAGATTTGGTCCCTCCAAATTAATTACCTTTTATTTTCCTTTTTTTGTTTAATTTTTTGGGTCAAAGCAGGATAAAGGACACTGGTGCAGCATACTCAACTCCACTGTTTAAGACAGTGAAAGAGCCTAAGATAGTTGTGCAAGCAGCTGGTGATGTAGGGATCTCAGGCGATGGCTACCGGTGGCGCAAATATGGTCAGAAAATGGTAAAGGGAAATCCTTACCCAAGGTATGCTTTAATACATTTTTTAGTCTTTGAATAAATTTTTAATGGTTTGTTTTCCTATTTTATGTAAATCCAAGAATTTTACTTGCCATTGTGGGGTAAATGATCTTATCACATAATACGGGGTTAAGATTATTACTATATATAATATGCTGTCATGAAATGTTTCTGTTTTCAGTTTAAACCTTGCCAGGTCTAACTACTTACTGCCATTGTCAGGAATGTACATAACTCCTCTCCTAATTTGGTGCTATCAATCTACCATGCCAGTGGTTTCTTGATGGAGCCACTGGATGGTGATCCCTCTTCCCTGCATGTTTGCAATGTGAATCAGTGCCAATTAATAGAAGTGCTATAGTACTATCACCTAAATGTGCGCCATGCACTCAGTTATCCAGGGAATGTGCCTTAAATCTGTCGCATGCATGGGAGCCAAGCACATTACCTTGGATGTAATCATGTAAAGTGGATTGCATGAACCTTGAATGCATTATGCACCATAAGAGCGTCATACTAATTGGTCTTTGAATACCTTGGATTTTCTTTTTCTTCTTTTCTATGAAAAATTTTATTGCATGTTTATCATTGTCAAGAGCATAGAGCTCCTTTTTCCTAAAAGGAAAAACAGACCCTTTTATAGATATAATGCTTAGTGCTTTAAATTAGGGGTGTGATTTGTGCATCATCCCAATTTAAATTTTCATCAGGAAAAGCACCCTTGTGTCTTAAACGTTTGTCACTAGAAATAGGGGTGTTTTTCTCTTTTCACTGGAATGTGCCCAAATCATTCCCCTTGTATTTGTTTGTATACACATACAAACTCTTGGTTAGCATATTTTGTTAAAGGGGCAATAGTCAATTGCTCTTATGAATTGAAGATCTTTTGATATTTTTCTGAGCATATATTGTTTAAGGGGCAACTGTACCTTCCTCAAAAACCATCCTTGCTTTTATGTTGGTTTATGATGGAAGGGAAGAAAGAACACTGGTTTAGGTAAACTCTATGACATTCTGGAGTGGTGGTAAACTGGCTGAAAGAGGATAGTTTTAGACTTTGGAATTACAGTAATGAAAAGTGGAAATTCAAGTGGCTGACTAAGGACATGGAAATCCAATACAAATGGGTAAAAAGAAGTGCAAATTCTTTGGCAGATGGTCTAGCTAGACAAGGGGTGAACAGACATTCTATTTTCTGGGCTGTCTTGTAATTTTTGTTCTTTTGATGTTTAATGGTKGTTCTTGGGAGCTAAGATTGTTTAGCCCCCTTGCCCTGTAATTTTCTCATATTTTTAATATTAATTCAATCCACAGTTATTGATAAAAAAAAGGTAAACTCTATGACATAAAATATAGTCATTTTTTAGCAAATTTTTGTTAAGTCTTTGCTTTTTAGGATCTATATTCTAGAGCTGAAATAGACAAAATGGTTCATGTCGGATTATCCCTGTACCAGTGTTGTTTCTTTGCTGGCAAAGTCTCCGCACGCCTGAAGTTCAAACCACACTCTATTTGGCTGGTGGTTACAGAAATTGATTAGAAGAGAACTGTTTTTGACGTTTGAACATCCATGCTTTGACATAAGTAGACAGTATCTTGCAATTCACTCTATTTTTACTGCCCTTTCCTATGATAAATTTTCAGGAGCTACTACAAATGCACATCTGCTGGGTGCCCTGTGCGGAAGCATGTAGAGAGGGCTACAGATGACACAAGTGCTATCATAATAACATACGAGGGAAAACACGATCACGACATGCCAGTACCAAAGAAACGCCATGGCCCACCAAGTGCTGCCCTTCTTATTGCTGCAGCAGCTGCCATGAATAGTGCACAAATAAAGAAGTCTGAAGCTTTACCAAATCAAAGAGCTTCAACCCAGTGGTCAATGGACATAGACAGTGATTTGATTGGAGAAAAGGCATTAGAACTCGGGGGTGAGAAAGCATTAGAATCAGCTCGAACTCTTTTAAGCATTGGAATTGAATTGAAGCCCTGCTGAAGCCAGGTAATCAGGGAAACTAGATATGCACCTTTCTCCTGCACCTGTGTCACCTTAATGGCTTTCTGGTTTGATGAAATTTTGGTTCCCTTACCCATTTCTTTTTTACGAGTGTTCTTTCATCTTTGTTTTAGGCTTTTAGCTTAGTCTTTTATGTAAACAATTATGTATATCCGGTCTTGTACATTCTCTTAGCTTGTTTGAATCGAGCTAAAAGCATCATGACATTTATAGGATTGCCAGGGTTCAAATAATGACGGAGTTACTTAAGGTTGAAAGTTGACATATTGATTTGCTACCGGATAAATGCCATTATAAATATTGCAGGTCAATAATAATCAGCACCTGTAATATCTCATCAGAGTGGAGAATATGTTTATACGGTGTGATATCTTTGTATTTTATTTTCTGGTGCTGTGGGAAAAATAAAAAATCTTCATTTACTGCTCTTTGCTGCTTTTTCTTTTTCACTAGAACTTTTCCTACATGGTTATATAATTGTGCTTTTCTTGGGGATTGGTATGTATTCTAGTAGAAAGGATAGGACAAATCGATGGGCATGAGGATGAGGTGTTGCCGCTTTCCCGGTCTCTGTAAGTTTGTATCGGGAGGGGAGACCGTGGCGTGTGGCGTCTGTGAGACCATACACCGACAACCGTCAGATAAATAATATTAATAGGAAGAGTCCACCACAATTCCTGTTCCATTTATCCTCATGATTATACCACCCATGTATGTGCCAGACACCTGCCATTTCTTTTCCTCTAAATTGGTGCAGAGCTTTGCCCATGCTTGATAGGCTTACGTTAGGGACATCACTGTCATTTTCGCCTATAAGATTTTTAGGAGAATTGATGTCATCTTCAGGCAGATCATCAAAAGCTTAACGTACTCTTTGAGAAGGGGTGGTCGATCTCCTTGGGTGCCTAACCTTGGCACTCCTAGACCATCATCCCCTTGCGGGGCGGCCCTGGTTAACGATTAACACGACTACCTGGGTTCCTCATGGGTGCACACTTGCTCATGGGACAGTGTTAGACCGGCATTGCGCCATCGACACTCAAGGGAGACTTAACATGTGGGCCTGGCTCAAACATGACCCTTCACCTCGTTAGCCCCTTGCCCAAGCTGATTGAGCTATCCCGTTGCCCCTAGCACACGGGTGTGTTTCGGCCCAAGCGGTTGCCTATCATCATGACACATAGGTGCTTATCATCATCAGCATACAGGAGACCCTTCACATTGGTGCCAAGTCACCTCATCGATGCATGGTCGCCTTGCATTATGGTTGTCCCCCTTTAGCACGTAAGCGGCGCCTCCCATGGACCGGTCTGAGTCAGGAGAATGTCCCGGTTATTAGATTTGAGGTCATGATCCAATGCTACTGACATTGATGGAGCCATCCCATCGAGCAACTCCTAGTCTCTAAGCGTTCAAAGGCTTGTCCTGGCCTACCTTGGCCTGAATGCTGCACGGGTTTTTCCACTGTAGAACTACCATGTGACACGATGGCGCCACCAATTTCCGGGTTTTCAAAAATTAAAAAAAAAAAGAAAAATTCCACAGTTCAAAGTAAAAGGGTCCCAATTGAATGTTCAAGTGTGACCGACAATTGCTACACATTCTAAAATCGACACTCAAATTAGGAGTTCGCATCTCCGCCCCACTACGCCTCGCCCCACACAACGTACGTCTGACACTTGTCCAGTCGCACGCGGTGGGGCGTTCCCCGTGTGAGGCTAACGGGACGGACGTTAACCCGTCCGTTAGCCCCCGTTAGCCCCGAAACGATCTCAAAAGGGCAAATTTCGAGCTTCTCCCATATTCCCTCCCCCTGAACTTCAAATCGGAGTCTATGACCCCGTTCTAGCCCGAGCTCGAATCTCCGCCCCCATCTCCTGCACCGGCGATCGCTCTGGTCACCTCAACCAATCGTGCCTAACCCTGTTTACTCCTCTCCGCTCGAGCTCAGATCCAATTCTCTCTTCGGAATCCAGAAGTCTCTAGAGCAGACACGACAACCGGCCGACGGAAGCGATGAAAACAGAAACACAAGGAAGAACAGAGAAGATCTGCTCCGCAGTATGGGCATCCGCATATGCATCTAGTGTAAGAAAGCGATGGCATTGGACAATAGTACGGCAGAGAAGCCGCCTACGGCAAGAGATGAAGCAGAGCTTGGTGGGGGGCGGTGAAGAGGTTGCAGTAGGTGTAGTGGAGTTGTTGGTGCCATCGGTGGTAGTAGAAGCGGCACTAACGATGTAGTGGTTGCTAACAGTGCAGATGTAGTGGTCGCCTGAAGCATTAGGAAGAATCTTCGCGTGGACTGGTTGAAATGATGGAACCGATAGGTGTCTTGGTGCAGGAGTCATAATTAGCTTTTGTCACTTGGGCCACGTCGTGCGAGCTGGAGAAATCGAACTCTGGGGAACATAAAAAGCATAAATTAGGATAACGATTAATTCTAGATGAATTTGTTGCCGGTGAAAGCCCATCTGCTTTAGATTTAAATTCAGGCTGGATTCAATGGAAAACAAATGATTTCTTTGGAAAACAGAGGTGGGTTCAAAAATTGATTGCGCATGTGCTCTTGTCCAGCACCAGCACGCACAGAATGAATTCATAGAAGGATTGGATTTTGAAGAATCCTTATCCAGAGTTTCGCCAACGGAGAAATTCTGGTTGGCAGCCCAGGTGTAGAAACTGTTGGAAGACGGACAACCAGTGCTGCCTCCGATGGTATGTGTTGTCTGTGCAGCTGCACTCTGAAACAAAGCTACTACAACAAGCATGCACCCCATCAAACCCATCATCTTACGAGCCATGTTTCTATGTTCACCAGGTCGTCCCTGTCTCTCTTTGAACAATGATGAATTCAACTTGTTTGTGAGTTGTGACAGAGTTGGTGAGAAGACGGTGAAGCAATGCAGATTCGGTTCAGACGTAAGCGGGGACAATGGTCAAGCGACTCAAGCCATCAAGGAATTAGTGAGCCTTAACTACCCCGTCCATTACCACCGCCGGTCAGCTTCAGAGACTTCTGGACTTCGGAGAGGGAGTTGGATCCGAACTCGGGCGGATGGGAGTAGAACGGGTCAAGCACGATTTGAGGTTAGGGGGGCAGGAATGTTGAAATAGAGAGGTCTTTGGGCTCATTTTGAGGCAACGAAACCAGTTGACACCCGTCCCGTTAGCCTCACACGCGGGAACGCCCCACCACGTGCGACTGAATATGTGGCAGTGGCACGTTGTGGGGCGACAGATGGTGGGACGGAGATGCGAACTCTCAAATTAGACCGACTTTGCATTGGGATTTGATCATTCCCCCAAACCAGTTTAACAAATTTAGAATGGATAATTTGATAATTTTATCATTCATCGTAATATTAGTTAACATTAACATTAACGGTGCTGGTGCTGGAATTGGGAATGGATTTTTAAAAGTTCAACGTATTTGGTTGTTGCACTTAAAAGTTGGGGTTCTTCAATAAATAAATAAATAAATTGTTTCAATTCAATGTATGAGTTGGGGTGGATATGAATCGAGTTTTTTTGAGCTCGGTTCATAAAAAGCTTAATTTGGCTGAGTTTAAATAGAGTTCGCGCCTAACATATAGGTTTGTTTACTAATAATATAGCTTGAGACTAATGACACTCAGTTGTGAGTCAGACGGGTCTCATCAAACTTATATTATATATAAAAAAACAAGTAAATAAAAATAGTGACCGGAATGATGCACTCAACCAACATTAGCTGTTCAACGCCTGTACATGAGGTCATCGGATGGTCCCAGCCCAGAGGCCCTACCAGGCCACTAACTCTCTCTGGTCATAAATCGGATGGTGATAAATTCAAGGACAATTTTTTTTCCTGCTCCCCTCGGACAGTGAAACCTGGCCCAGCCAAAACAGGGAAAGGCTTTTTTTAAGTGCGAAATATGATGGTTACGTTAGGTAACCTTTCACTGTACAAGAAACAAGTTTACATCCCTTCATCCATGATCCATCAGCTCTCATTGGGCTTCCCTTTTCTGGCTTTCTCCCCCTCCGAAGTCCCCGACGCCACCGTGATCACCGACAACCAAATTCTCTTTTTTATAATCTACAAACAAAGATTCATACAAGAATTCATAATTTCTTTATACACAAACCACCACCCATCTCATGAAAGAGCAGCCCAACTACCTGTTAATGGTATGGTGTACAAGAACGATGTTAAACCTGCAAGGCAACCCCTTCCGAGACATTCAACTCATCAATGGCCTTTCCCAATTCTAAGTTTATTATGTCCTCGGTCTTCTTCTCTTCGGCCTTAGCTTTGCTACCTTCGTCTTCGATCGCTGCCGTTGCGTCGATACATTCTTGGTATCTGAAGCAATTTATGAGATGGTCGTTTGTTATTCCTGCAACTTGCATGAACGAGTAGATGACAGTTGGTCCCACGCTCCGGAAACCCCGTCTAACCAGGTCCTTGCTTATCACATCTGCTTTCGGAGTCTTCACCGGAACTTGGCGGGGGTACCGGAACTTGCTAATTATAGGCTTGTGGTTGACAAAGCTCCAGATATAGTTGTTGAATGACCCAAATTCATCAATAACCTGCAAAGGAAAAGCTCACTTGAAGTTAGCTGTGGTGACGATGGTTAGAACTGTGGAACCGTTCCAACTATTGAAATAAGAGGAATACTTGTAAGGAAGACATCGGAAAGGGCAGACTTACTATTTAGCCTAGCTAGGTCATACATGTGGTCTAGCTGGTACCAAGGAGAAAGGACCACAGTTTTAACAACTCTTTACCTAGTTATAGCCGGACATCCCAGTTATATCACTTTATTGATTGGTCAGGAAAAGGAAATATGGAAAACAGTCCCACAACATGTCTGCCGTTCTGATGCTTAGAATCATCAAAACAGTTGATGTTGGCTTGGGAGATGCAGATGATTAATAGTAAGTCATCTACATATAAAAAGCAGGGGTAGGGTAGGTTTTTGAACAGCTACCACCATCAGTCGGTCCATCATTATCATCAAAACAATTCTCGGATTAACCCACCAAACCAGAAAGGCATATCTACTTTAATTATAGTTCGGGAGGGGGAGGGGGGATAAATAGTGAAAAACAAAAATGAAAGTCTACCTTGCATATTTGGCGTGCATTCTCGATGATGGCACGCAGCTTTAACTCTGATAATAAGGAGATGGCCGTACCTCCTGGTGTTGTGATTTTCTTCTCATTCAATTTTGAGACAGCAACTGGATCAAAATCTGCAAAGACTTCCCTGCATATACATATGTTAGGAGAGAAATGTGATGCAAGTGCAGAGTGATATCATTGACCATCTGCCCAGATGATCAAGTACGGACAGAAAATAATGAGGCAGATGGTCCAGAAGATGAGCCCATTAATCAGATCATTGTGAGCATTAAGGTTTTCATCAAATCAAGTAGTTTCAGTACCTAAAAATGTGTCTCTTGCTTAAAATGACAGGCCATGGAAGTTCAGCCAAAGCACCCGATAGGACGAGGAACTCAAACAGTTTCCTGCATGTTGTCAACTCAAGAACATGAATATCCCAAGAAACTGCATTACCAAAAAAATATCCTAAGAAACTGGTTGATAAATAGTTTTTCCTTCAGGATAAAGGAAACCCCTAATAATGAAAAGAAGGTTGGTTTTGGTGATGTACTTGTCATCATGAACTGGAACTCCCCATTCTTCATCATGAAAAGCAGCATAGCAAGGGTCTGCTTTAGATAAATGAAAACCATTAGGCCAACAAACATTTGTATCATTAGATCAGTAACTTCATAAATAATAGAAGAATAATTAGAGTTGCAAAAGAGACTGAAATCATCAAATGGCCCCAGAGAACGAAACACAGAAAAAAAAAAGAAAGAAAAAGAGCTAGGACCCCAATACGGATTAGGCAGTGAAGCTTTCCAAGAATGAAAAGTAATAAAACAGTTTTGATGGAACTTTAACAATGAGAAAAAACAGTTCTTATGGCTGGGTAGGGACATTGAGATTCAGTACAGCTGGGTGAAGAGGAGTGCCAACTCATTTGCGGATGGGTTGGCCAAGCAAGGAGTGAATAGGGAGGCTGTTTTTTGGGCTAGTTTTTAATTTTCTTTGCATTCCCTGTGTTTTCTGTTTTTGGGGAGCTAAGTTATTTTATCTCCCTTTGTATTCTTTTCTCTCTCTTCTCTTAATTTAATTAAGATGATGTTATTGATCAAAAATAAAAAATAAAACAGTTTTGATGGGGTAATGGGACTATACAGAAAACCAGGTTTCTTAGGACTATACAGAAAATACTAAATGTCAGATCAAGATCTGACAACAGAAGTTTAGGATAGGTGAATTAACAGGCAACTATAAACCTGAGTCTGACACATTGGATGGTTTCTCTCGATGGAGCTTGTGCAGGGATAATTATAAGATGAATACGAGATACTCATAGGGAAGAAACATATTCCAATCCCACATCAAAAACACAAAGTATGATTACAAGATTCTGTACTTGACTGGATACAGAAGAAACTTGCCAGGTCCTCCAAAGGTCTAGCATCCTCTACTTCTTGAATGAATAAAACTTTTCCATAGAATTCATCATAAATCCACATTATTAGGACAGAATAATTGTATTACCAAAATTTGTTCACTTTACCTATTAGTGATGTAAGAAATCAGTAACCAAATATGTTGGTCAATATAATAACAACACCAATTCCCCGGAGTAGAAATGGACCAAGGTTTTCTTAGACATGAAGCGGTTTATTTGCCATGGCACAATTGTTTGGCCCAGCCACCCAGATGATGCTTCTAAATCATTAAGCTAAGGAATGAGTAATCAGTTTCAACTTTCAATCAAAATGTATTACTTAATACTTACTATGAAGTATTATAGTGTAATGAATATATAAAGACTTCCACACTTGAAAAAGGAAAATCCTCAAGAATTACATACCAATTAACTGAGGCAAGAATTTCAGAAGTATATGAACCTTCTTTCTCCAATGTTGAGCAGAACCACAAATGAAAAACAAAATGGAAGCAGCCTCATACAGTAACTAATAAGTCATCTTCAAAGTGTAGTGATTAAATTGGAAAGCCATCCCCTGTATATTAGACTTCACCAACTCAGCAAGCTGGCATCCTCCCAGTTTGTTTTACTAAAGTTTGTCATTTAAGGATAAGGTGTGTGTTATTGACATGAGAAGGTGAAAAAGGAGTGTCATAAGGTATATGTTTCTTTTGTTTCTTGGGTACCAATTTTACTGAAAAGATTTGGCAGATAATAGTTAATAGAAGGAACATATGAAAATAAGAAACCAAAAAATATTAGAATTATCCAAAATTTGGTATTTCCACTTCAAGGTACATAAAGTGAAGTCGAAATCCAATACTTCCTATATATCCCTAAAGTGTGATCATTCTAAAGGATGATAAAAAGAAGAACATCTTTGGGCCAAACTTTTTCTATTTCCTAATATCTAGCAAATTCTCTCTGGAAACACTGATTTCTGCAGGTCCAATTCCCAGTTCCCACTAGCCCAAATTTGTAAAAAGAGTCTGTAAGAGAATGAGAGAGGGCACCTAACCATATATAGAAGCAAAAAACTTCCAGCTCAAAAGAAAGCACAATAGTTTATTTCATCCCCAAGTTTCTTACAACTTTTTCATTTTTGTTAGTTTATTGGATAACAGGGAACTAGGTTCTCATATAGTGCCTTTCCATGGCACAACAGATGCAAGACAAACAGCATTGCCCTAAAACTGCAATCTGATAGTAATGCCCGGTGGGCACATGTCAAGTGGATTGGAAAAATAAAGTTATTTCATTGCTATAAAGCCAGAAAAAAGTTAAACATAGTGGAATTTTAGGCTATTAAATAATAATGCATCCATAAATAAGCATAGCAGAAGTAAGGAGAGAAATAATCAACCAACACAACTTCAACTTTTATATTTCCCACTTTACTAGATTCTTTGCCGATCAACCATTACTATTCCTGGAGTTATAATTGTGTTTCGTGATTCAAAAATTGAGAGAAGCTAAATCTGCTACTTTGTCAAAAAAACTTTTGACATTTCCCAAACTTGATTTGCAAGAAACCACCCGTTCAAGGTATAGAAAAAAACGTTATCGAAAACAGAAAATAACGGGCTATATGCCGTTTGGTAAAGCTTACCACTATAGTTTTAGTAACGAAAATCAAATTATATATATATAAACTAGATTAAGTTTTAAAAGTAAAGATAACTTTGGAAAAACCTTGGAACAGAGAAACAAGCACGTACCGGTATTTGGTGTCACCCAAGCACACCTCCTTTTGGTTTGTATGCTCTCAGATGAAGAATCTGAGACGCTATCAGGAGCAACCTTTTCTGGCCTTGAAATGGAGCGCTTCCTCCGGCTTGTGGTACTACTTGTTCTAATTATCCTCCCAGTAGAAGCTCGACTATACACCGAATCAGAAGAAGCATCGGAAGAGCAAGACGCATTAAGCGACAAGTTCGAGTGCAAGAATTCATGTCTCCGCAAAATCGACGGAACGCTGGCAGACTGGAGCTTAGGTGGTGAAGGTGCAACAGGAGACGACGGAGTTTTCTTCTCCCCATTTGCAACCTCGGGTGATTTCTCCACTTTCCTTAAAGGCTTGGAAACTGGCTTCCGTGTAACCAACGACCCTGTCTTGTTTCCCGTAGGTCCAAGGACCGGCCGCGCATCCGAATCTGCTACATTCATCGACCTGACTCTCGGAGCTCCCGACATGGAAAGAACTCCCTTATTCTCCTCAGATCTCAGCTTTTCGCTTGAAAAATCTCCGGATTTCTCCACTTTTGAGAGATTTAGGTCCAATTCAACTGCTAGAAATCACCATTCACCATCTCGGACACAAATCCAGCGAAAATCCTCACTTTAGACTCACAGACTACAGAAATCGCCAGTATTGCAGCTCCTTTGACCAAATGAGCCTAAGATTAAATCAACGGCCCTGAGAGCTCCATTATCCACTGCTACTTAAAGTCCGCTAAACCAAAACCCTAGAAAATACATCCATATCAAGCAAGCGAAATTCCTCCAACTTTGACCAAAACCTAGAGCTAATTCAAGCCACTGAGACGCCTCACTGACAAAGAACCATTTAAACCAGCTTCAGAAAACTATAGAAACCCAGGGATATCGTACTACATTGCCAAGACCGAAGCTCTGTAGCTGAAAACATCCATCTAAAGCTGTCTCTTTTCAGTCCTCGACGCGAAAAGCTGCCATTTTTCTGCAAAACCCCTCGTTTGCCCTAATAAACCCCGAAAGTGGACTGAAATCGCTACAAAACACAACAAAACCCTTCCGATCCTCAAACCAAAACCAACGAGAATAGATCGATCAAGAACCTGGCCCGAAGAAGAGAACAGTGAGGAAAATGCTCGATCTACGGATTGAGAGCAGCAGAGGCAAGTGGAGAAGAAACAAGGAAGCAAATGAGAGAAGGAGAGAGAGAGAGAGAGTGAGTGGGTCGAAAGAATTTATAAACAGGGTGACCGAGAGAAACAAACGGAGCAGGTAATCGACCGGCTGTGTCCAGTCAAGGTACAGTAATATTCTTGTCGAGACTCGAGAGTTAGGTCTCTCTAATCTCTTAGCTTGATGGCTTCCCCGAGAAGACGCGAAATAAGACCATTCTGTCTGTAGTCGGGGAATCTGAACTCTCTCTCTCTCCTTAGAGTCTTCGAGTAAATTTTTTACTATTATGTTCCCAATTTTACCCCAGGAGTTGTTTTGTATTCTCGAACATACCCCTGTTGGTGTTAATTAAAGCGGAAAGCTAGCCGTTGGCGATATTTTTAACACGTTTGAGAAGGGAGGGGAAGGAGGGAAAGGCCGCCGCTTTTTCTTCCATCGAATGATGCTCTCTGCGATGCAAAACTTTGGACTGAGCTGTTTGGGCATAATTCACACATTGGCTCCCCGCAGAGCACGCCCCACATCACCGTCCGCGAGACATTATAGTTGTAGATGGGGAATAATATCTCACTTGATATTTACGGGGAGATATTTCCAATACACGGTTGTGAGGTGCATGATGTATGCTCTGTATGGTGAATTCATCCAAATTCATTTGTTTGGGCTATATTGTGAGGTCGGTATGAGGATCACTCCGTGAAGAACAAATCCCATACCTATACCCATGTGACGTGTCATTTACATAAAATTTAACACTCAGTTGTTTTCATCGAACCGTCAAAGCCTTTTGATCTAAATTTTGTAATCCAGGCATTGAACCAGACAGTCGTATCGATTAATCCGTGATGGTTCATTTTACCCTAAACCAGATGATGGATTAGAAAAATCCATTGACTTGGTCAAAAAATCATCAATCTAATGGTGTGAAGGATGATGCTACAAAAAGCGTTTTTTTTATTTATCTCAAAATCAGCATTGGACCAGGCTCATTTAACAAAATGTCTACACCCAGATTAGTTTTGATTAGATCAATCTGGATATGGAGAACATCGAAATTAAGTTGATAGGGCACGCGTTGATTGTCAAAGTAATGATATGCAATGAAAGTGAGTAGGAAACCTGGGTTCGAAGTAGACACACCATACCCCATACACAATTTCTATTTCATCTTAAAACATGTTTGGCATGGATGAATGTTGATTAGGTATTGGCAACATAGCTGTTGGAGAAAACATCTATTTTGATGTTTCAGCTGGTTGTGTTTGTGAAGCTAAGTGTGGCAATTATAACCTCAACCAAACATATTTGGTTTGTGTTTTACTTGAAATGCAGATGTGGCCGTTGATGGTGGACACCGAACAAAATCACAACACCTTCATACCAAACATCCCTTATGTTGGAGATCATCTTGATCCTCCCTGGTGCTGGGATTATGCTCCCTCATTCCTCTTGCCTGTCTTGGACAAATGGTTTGTAGTTGGACCTGAGTTGTTGAACGAAATCTTCCTCGAAGGGTTTCAAAACACAAAGCAAGTTTTCATGTATGACATATCATTTTCTAGGGCTGCAATTGAGCTGAGCTGAGCTGAGCTGAATTTTGGCATGTCTTGGCTCGGTTCGACTAAAATACTATTAAGTTTGAGTTTGAGTTCAAGTTCGATTCGAACTATATTTTTTGGCTCAAGCTCGATTCGATTAAATATTCAATGAATTCGAATTCGGATCAAAAGCTTGAAAACAAATATGTTTATATATTTTATATGTATGATATTTTTTATAATATGTATGTATGTGTTAATCGAGCTAAGCTCGTGAACTTTCCAGCCAAACCTTTTATTGGTTGAGTTCGAATTCGATTAAAATCGAACTCAAATCAAGCCTAATCGAATTTGAGCTCGAACTATTTGATTAGAGCTCAATCCAATTGCAGTCCTACTATTTTCTTTATTTTATAAATATCCTAATTTAATTACACAGTGGGAGGAAATTTATTTCCGTAGGAGAATGAAATAAAATCCTTGAAAAATGAACTAAAATGGCTTTAATATGCTGTGCTATATTTCATAATCAAATTAGACTCACAAGTTGTCCCAAGCATTGCAATTAAATCCAAATTTGGGTTCTTCCTTGATGATATATATATATATTCATTTTGTCCTGTGAATGCAAATGATTCGAGTGCAAATTCTAATTTATTTTTGTTTCAAATTTTACCTTGTTTTGTTTTTGCAGTACAAATGAAGTAAAATTAAAAAAAAAAAAAAAACGAAACATAAATTGATTAAATTTTTCATAATTTTTATTTGCACTCATACATTTGTACCAGTACAAATAAAATTACAATGCAAAAAAAGTAGAGCCTTATGGATTTGTTTTTGGTGATGATTCCTCCTTGAACCATTGATTTACATTTCCTACATAAACTGCACCCCAGTCACCAGGGGTTCATTCTAGTGCATAAGGGAAAGAAAAATGGGTTTTTTTTTTAGCAAAGAAATGATCTATACGAAACTTCCACATGGGTATCCTATAGTATAGGGCCTTTTGGTTTTTGGTAATAAATGCTATTTAATATATTATCAAAATAAATTGTGGCTTAGACACCTTACCACAAGCTAAGCAAAAGGAAGTGATCATATGGCTGATCAAAAGGGCGCCCCATTTGATGAACGGTTCAGATAGGCTGTAGGATCCATCCACATTGCATAAATATGTGGGGTCGTTTTCAGAAGTTCCCTCTTTGTACTTCAATGCTAAGCATACAAATTTGAAGATAGGTGGGCCCCACAATAATATTCCAATTCTATGGCAAAGAAAATGCATGGTAAGGCATAACAGAATAAAATAAATTTATAATTAATTATATATACTTAGCCTTTTGTCCATACGTTCATTCTATTGTAGTTTCTCACAATAACCAAAAAATGCCAAAGGGTATTCTTCTTCTATCTACATAATCGCTCCGCATTCTCTGACTAAACGGGCTCTATGGAGCTTCCCCACTTGACCCAATAATGGTTTCTACTCTCTGGCATAGCCTGCTAAATTTGAACGATTGATCTGGATCCTTAAATTTTTGCATGAATTGGCCAAATCGAATTCAAAATTCACAAAATGGTTTGACTCATCCCAATGTTTTGTCCACTACTAACAATCCAGCAAGCCTTCTTTCTGAGCAAATCTAGCCAAAGTAATGTACTTTTTCTACATATAGAGGTGGTTTTGGCTTTTACTCTTGCATTATAGAAGTCATTGTGCCAAGATATTTGGATTTTAGCACCTTGACCCATAATACTTCTGGTTCATTGAGTAGTCTTCAGCCAAATTTGATGATGGGAATGCAAATGGTAAAATCTTGAGTTGGCAAGTGTTCAAATGCAAGTTCAAGTTTAACAGCAGCTACACATGTGAAAGAAAATGCCAAAGGTTAGTACTGTACCCAGTCTATCCCTTTTAAGGCCACATATAACTGACACTAACATTGAGAAATGGCCTATTTTAAACTCGGCAAATCCTCACAATTTTCCTTGCTACAGTACAAGTAAAGGTTTTTAAGACAACGAACCATTCAGGGTCCGGTTCTTAGGTCGAACGGTCCGATCAAACGAACGGCTTTTGACAAAAATAAAAAAATATATATATATAAAATGGTCAAAAATTGTTAGACGGTTTGACCGTGCAGGTCAATGATTTAATGACCAAATCAATGGTTTTTGGCCAAAAGACGATTCTGAGATAAAACAGTGACCAATAGACCTATTCATGGGCCAGGCCGGGCCGGCCTTTTACTCTTCATTAACGGAAAAATGTTAGGCCCGAGCCCGAGCCCGGTCCGACCAACGGGCCTACAACTTGGGCCCGAGCCCGGCCCTGATAAAAAGCCCGAAGCTCGAGCCCGAGCCCGAAGCCCGACCTAATAAAAGAAATTAGAAGAAGAAGAGGAAAAGGATTGCTTTTCTGATAACTGATTAGTGTTGTTTCTCTGTCTTTCTCGTTTAACAAGTGGAAGAAGAAGAAGAGGAAGAAGACAAACATGCTTGCCGTCGGATTTTTTGCTGCCACCGACTAAACATTGTAATAGAATAAAGTGGTAAAGAGAGCTCATCGCTGCCGCCGGTGATTGTATTCGCCGGAGAGTTCACGGTGAGTTGGTGACTGTGGTCTGTGAGCTGTGAGCCTGACCTGTGATTTTGACAATGATCAGTTCGCGTCAGAGAGAGAGAGAGAAAGAGAGAGAGAGAGAGAGAGGGAGGGAGAGAGAGAGCTCACCGCCGCCGCTGGAGTTGTTGCGCCGGCGAACGTTCACCGCCTCGCCGGTTGTGGTTGCCTGAGAGTGTGAGGATGAGAACTGTGGAGTGTGGAGGATGTGGAGATTGGAGAAGAAGGGTTCGTCTGGAAAAAAGAAAGGAAAGAGACAAAGAAGTGAAAAAAAGAGGGGTACTCGAACTGACTAGGGTTTTTACTTAGGTTTAATTATAGGTCGGGCCGGGCCGAGCTATTTTGACAAATCCTGAGCCCGGTTCGAATTTATTGCGAGCTGGGCTTTTTAACCCGAGGTTAAGCCCGCAGGCCCATATACTCGTTCAAGCCCGTCTGGGGGCTGGGCCGGACCGGGCCATCGGGCCACCCAGCCCATGAACAGGCTAGTGACCAATTCCCAATTTTTCTGGTCTGACTGTCCAATCCGATTTTAAAAACATTGATAAAACTCCTTTCAGGCCTTATTGTGATGTTTAGTTTCCTTGAAGCCCCCACTAGAAATCTCAAACAATATTGTTTGGGAGTCATAAATGTAACTAGAGTTTAACCATATGTTCATGTGATAAATTGGGGTTGTAGAGATAGAGAGACATGGTTTGATAAGAAAAGCAAGAGAGAAAATCAGTAAGACATTAGCAAAAAAAAAGAAAAAAAAAATATTACTTACTCATATTGTTATTTTACTCCAAACTAATCTAATGTCATGAACTAATACCTCATTTTTCCTTTGACAACTTGTCACAGTTGAGAAAGGGGAGGATGGCCTTGCCTAAGTCCTCTTTTTAGGTTTAAAAGAATTAGATGACTTGCAAATGATAAACTTTCATGATTGTAGTGGATGCGTGCAGCCAGTGTGAGAAGAATTAGGGTTTGGAGAAAATTGGTCTGAGAAGATTTGAATTTATTAAGATTTTTTAAAGGAAAAATAAATATATTTTTTTTAA